TTTGGGGTACTTTCATACTGTCAAGAGTGGTATATCTTTTTTTTTTTCCTTTTTCTGTTTTCTTTAAAAACAGATGGCCAAACCAGGACATATACTAAAAAAACAAAAAGGAAGGTTACTTACCTGAGCCCTAACATGCCAGCTACCATGGGGTCCTGTTAGAGCGGGGTCTGGGGAGGCACAAGTCACATCAGAGCAGGAGCCTAAAACAAAGAAAATTGTAAGTTGAAAGTCCCCATTGTGCTACACGGACCTTTTTCCCAGGGCGCCTCGGGACACCTTGAAGATAAGCCTACAGACGAAGCACTGCTGGCTCAGCCAGCTCGAAGCAAAGTCTCAGCCGCACATGGCTGGCATATTACACGCCATCAAAGAAAAGCACACGCTTGTCCAAATCAACACACACACGTCTTGTCACCTCCAGGGAACACTGCAAAGCCTACTCTTAGTGGTGATCTCTGGCAAGTACTTCTGCTACCAAGTCCCCTGAAATCCTCTGGAGAGACTCCACACGTAAGAGAACCGGCGGCATCAAAACCACATGCCAGGATGGCCACATGCTGCCCAGAGGCAAGTCTCCCTCCCCGAGCGCCCTGGAAAGCAGCACCAGTGGACACCCAGGGCCTCGGGGCCCCAGAGCCTGCACCCCAGAGATGCAGAGCCCTTTCGCAGGGGCCACTCTTAACCTCTCAGGTCTTTAAAACGCAGTGCCCAACAAGCTTGGGTACGCCAGTGGCAGCTGCCCTTTTCCTTCCAAGCCCATGTTCAGAAAAGAACAGCTCTCATGACATATTTAGCCACAAAGACCATCACCGTTTCCCTGTTACAGCCTCACCTGCCCCCATTAGCTAATCCATTAGCAAAGGTACCCTGGGTGTCCAGTCCAAGTGCAGCACTTTTTAGATTAAAAAAGACTAGACGAGCATGGACAACTCAGAAGTGCAACAACTATTCATGTCATGAAACCCAGAGAAAGGGCAACGCCAACCAAGTCACTTCTGGCTGGCCTGGAACTACCCGGACAGACACCCGTAACATAGCTGCTGCCACGCTTCACTGAGGCCTCCCGATTCCTTTAACCAAAGGTTCGCATCATGGAAGGCTCCGAACTCCCAGAAGGTAAGTTCACAATACCACTCAGGTATGTAGCAAGCATCAGGCCGGGACGCGGCTAGGAGGCCTGGGGAAGCCACGCCATCTCATGGCCCCCGTTTGTTTCCTCTGTAAATAGGGGGAGCTGGACCGAGATTCCTTCCAGCTCTGAAAGTTGAAGACGTTTGACTCACTCCAGATTTCATGAAAACCAAACCAAACCAAGTGAAGTGCTAGGCAAAGAGAGCACTGTGAAGCAGTGACTTGCAGGTCCAGGCCAGGGACACCTCCAGTTCCAAAGATAAGGAGGACGCATGCCCCCTCCCTAAGGCTCGGCCCCCCACAGCCTCGGAGGCAGGACCAAGAACACAGACTCAGTGGTAACTGCACGCCAGCTACCTGCCGACCACAACGACGCATTACTGGGCAAGGGTGTCCCACCCTTGGGCTTTGAAGGAGTTAGAAAGTCTGAGGCCTTCTTTCCTAATGGCCTTCTTTCCTAATGGACTATTACCCCACCTTCGGCCTGGGAGTGGGGATGCCCCTCCCACTCAGTTGGCCCCCACACCATACCTACCATCAAACTCTGAGAGCGAGGTAGTTAAGGAATAAAGCTTTTGACAGAGAAGCTTCCTCCGGGGAGAAAGGCAAAGGCGGCCAGGTAAAGGGACAGGGGCACCAAGGACGGAAAGAAAGGCAGCTGGACTGGGAAGGGCTGCTCCAGAAGCCGTATGGCAGAGGCCATGCTCCCCAGAAAGAATGGCGGTGTTTGCCACCACAGGAGGCCAGTCTGCACCTGCCCCACCAGGCCTGACGGTGCCCCAAGCCAGCAGGTCTTGGCCACATCCACTTGAAACCGGCCGGCTAACGCTTCGGGCTGACCTGAGCAGAGCAATCGCTCAGCACGGCTTGGAAAGGCAGTCCCATCAAGTGGTGGTGGGGAGCGAGCCCCGGGAGAGTGCCCTGGCTCAGGGAGAACTCCAGCCAGCGGACTACAAATGGGGCTAGGCCAAGTCTGGGGTTCTCAGGAATGTTCACCCACACCTCTGTTGTGAACGCACCCCCAGAAGGTGCACAAGCAGGGAACTGACCATTCTGAACTCTGCTGTTCTCCACTGAGGCTGACGAGACAGATTTCCCGTCCCAGCTCCACGGGGAGAGCTGGGTGGGGACGACACCATGACGGAAAACCTGGACAGCTGTTTTCCCAAAGACACAACTCGCCTCCGCCCCCTACCTGATTCCAGCGGGCAGGCAACAAGGACTCCAGGTGGTAATTGTAAACATGTAAATAAAGAACTAAAAATTGTATCTGAATCTGCCGAAGGGGCAGAGGTCTGCAGCCCAGACCTACCTCAGGATTCAAACAGCAAAGCAGTCAGAGCAGGGTTTACTGAGCCATGCTGTCCTATCAGGTGGGAAAAAGCCTGTGCTTAGGAGCCCTGGTGGCACAGGGGTTAAGTACTCGGCTGCTAGCTAAGGGGTCAGCGGTTCACACCCATGAGCCATTCAGTGGAGAAAGATATGGCAGTCTGCTTCCCTAAAGAGGAACCGCAAGGGGCAGTTCTACTGGGTCCTGCAGGGTCGCTATGAGTCGGGATGGATGGACTCACCTGCAATGGGCTTGGGTTTACTCTAGATTTAACACTTTCCACACACGTGCTTTGAAACAGGAACTCGAGAGGTGTGATGGGTCAGCACTAGCAAACAAGCCACACAAGGCTTCCTAAAGCTGGGACCCGCTGCCTGCAGATGCCAGAAGGCACTTTCCAGAGAAAACCGACTCAGGCGCCCGCCTGTGCTGCTCCTAGGGCTGAGGTCAGGCAGGCGGCTATCTGGATGGGCCCCACAGAAGGCAGTCACGAGTCATCAAGTGGGGCTTGTGTGTGTGTGTGGAGGGGGAGCACAAGTGTGCCCCAGCGATGTGCCACCCAGCTGACCTGCTACGAACAGGCTCTCTGCACCCAGTGACGGCAATCAGCACGCCAAAGCCCACCATGCTTTGACCTCGGTGGAGCGTGCCCTCCAAGACTCCCGCGGTACAGGCTTCCTGCTGGGACTGAAGTCTAAGTCCTGAAAGAAATAAGCCCATTTCCCAAAAGACCTGATAAGTCCAGCCCGTCTTTTTATCGAGACTCAGCGTAAGACCCAAGAGGTCAGCTTAATGTGGTTATTAGCTGAAATTACCGTGACCCAGGTGGACAGTCCAGGTACAAACCCAAAGTTCTCCTCTGGAGTAACTGCTGTCTGTAACAGGTCAATCTCACTACAGAGGCCTGACCATGCTTCATTTCTCGGGGCTAGCACATACCTTACAGTCCACAGCGGCCCAAACGGTTCTACAGCACAGCAAAACGCAGAGAAATGCCTGCAACCTGTAGGAGTCCTACAGAGCCTAAGCCAGTCAGCTGCACACAGCCGTGGCTCTGAGTCCCTGATCAGCAACCATCCCCTTAATCGCATGCTATAATCTCACCAATGTGGGTCACTGACCCCGCACAGCGAAGACCCACGTGTCAATGGCTCCAGAGCCCGTTCCGGTTATTGGAAAAACCACCAGAAGTACCCATGTGCCCGACCATGAGTCAGGAATATCAATTTTGTGGTGGAGCCCATTCTGCTGTGACCAACCCACCCCTCAACACACTCCCCACACCAGCCACTGACACAGAGGTGAGAAGAGGGGCTCTGCCATCTCTTCCAAGGTGGGCCTTCTCCCCTCAGGGGCTGCAGTTCTCAGTGGCACAAAGGTCTCGGGGAAAGCAACGTTTCAGACTCTTCAGGATGACCATAAGCCTTCAGCGCCAACCCGGAGAAACAGCGCCACTGCCACATCAAGTCAGCTGAGCTTCAGTTTGGGTGGTTCAGTCATAACCGGAGAGAGAATAAACTTTCAGCGAAATCGACAGGAAGCACAGCAACGCCCCGAACTCGCCCCATCTGGTCCTGGTGATTTTGTGCGGGGCGCACGCCAGCGCTATCGGCGCCCGTGACATACAATGTCCCGTTACACTTATGTAACTGGAAGATCGCTGGCGAGGGGGAGGAGGATGGGAGGGCGCCCAGGTTCCGAAGTCACAGCCCCCCATAAAAAAAAACCCTCGGAACACCCTGGGGGCGAGCTCAGGGCAAAGAGCTTCCTATGCTGCGGGGCAGAGTCCCCTCCCCACGGTCCCAGAAGGGAAGTATAGCCGCCTCTTTGATGACTGGTGGGACCGGGACACAACGTCTCTTCCCTTTTGTGGGTGGACAACGATTCCCTCCTACTTCTTGCTGCTCGAAGCGGAAAGGAGGCTGTGGACCGACTCGCTTCCAACGGGGGCAGAAAGGCACGGAATGGGCAAGAAGGAGGGGGAAGCACGGCCTGGAGATGGGGGTGAGCGCGCAGGAGCCCTTGTGGCGCACTCGCCCGACGGGAGGCGAACTGCGCACGCGCGCCGGTGGGGGGGGGCAAAGTAACGGGAGAGGGGGCGCGAGAGGGAGGGAGAGGGGAGAGCGCGATCCAGGGAGAGGCCGGGGGCGCGGGCGCGCGACGGCGCCGCGGCCCGAAGCCCTGAGAAGGGCAGGACGCGCGCGCAGCCACGACAGGCGAAGCCTCGGCGACAGGGGCGCCCACGGGGCCGGGATGGGAGCGGAGGGCGGGAGGAAGTGGGGCAGAAGGCCGAAGCGGCCCAGGCAGCGGCCCCACGGGACCGCGGCGAGCACGGCCACCCGCGAGCGCCAGTGACGGGCCGAGGGGGGAGCCACCAATGGAGGCGGCAGGCGGGGGAGGGGGAGAGTAGAGAGGAGGGACGCCATCCGCCAGCCCGAGCCGCCCGAGCCCGCGGGCCCCTCCCGCGCCACGTCCCGCCCCTGCCCCCCTCCCCCAAGGAAGGGTCCCCGCCCGCGGCCTCAGCGGTACCACTCACAGTCTCTCCTCTTCGCCTCCTCCTCCTCCTCCGCTCGGCGCGGCGGCGGCGGCGGCGGCCATTTTCCGGACGGCTTTTACCACAGCCCTCTCTCCGAGAGGAGGGAGTGCGCGCGCCACCGACGCCGGGACCCCGCACGGCCG